TATAATTTTTATATATATAATTTTAGATTTTTCGATATTGAAATAATAAATATGTAGCTGCACGTTACAATTTCCACGGTTTTTTCACATCGATTTCTTAATTTATCTAAATTATATGAGTGTATACAGGATGTTTAATAAATAATGAAAAACTCTTGCATAGGAGTAGAGCGGATTAAACTGAGTCGAAAAGTCCTATATTATTTTGCAATTTTTGCAATAGTTAACAAGATATCAATTATTAAAAATTTGAATATTGGTTTTTAATAATTTTTTACTCAAGTACTATCAACTTTATAGAAAAATAGCAAGAGACAAAAAGAAGAGAGAATTTTTTATTAACTTTTTAGTACTGCATTTTCTTATTGGCAACTACTTTTACCAACATGAGAAAATGCAGTACTAAAAAAATTCTGAAAAAATTCTTAGTACTCTATAAGAAAAAAATAAACATTTTTTGTTACCTGCTTTTTCTGCGCTTTTCTATAAAGTTGATAGTACTTGAGTAAAAATGATTGAAAATCAATATTCAGCGATTTTTAATAATTAATATTATTTATTTAGTAATAATTATTTAACATGTAATTATTTATACATGACCACCAATGACTTTGACCTTAGTATATGTTGTCGAGGTCATGACCCTGAGTGATCTCCAACAAGTTTTAGCTGTCGTTATTACAAAATTATTACAAATTTGAAAAATGATGTCTCTATATAAAACAGAAATTTTTTTAAATTATATTTTACGACTTTCTATGAGAAACGAGTTCCACCTCGCTTTGCTAAGAAGCATACATTTTCATTCAGATAGATCTTGCTTTGCGTGGAAAATGGGACGCCTCTTGGCAGGAAGGAAGATGAGGTGGAATTCACTTCACGTGGAAAGTCATATTTCTTTAATCGATCCACTCTGTATCTCTCTCCCTGCTTAATTATCTGACTTTTCATATAAAACAGAGAAATAATTATTAATTCTGACTGTGTGTGTGTGTTAATAACTTTATAACAAATAACGAGCGACAGCTAAAACTTGGAGGTCACTCAGAGTCATGACCTTGACAACATACGTTAAGGTCATTGGAAAGAAATCTCCTATTGTAAATAATTACTTTAATATCTTGTTAACTATTGCGAAAATTGTAAAATGGTAGAGGACTTTTCAACTCAGTTTAGTCCGCTCTATCTCTATACAAGAGTTTTATCATTACTTATCAAACATCTATAGAATCGAAACTGTCTCATGTCTACAGTCAACAGTAAGCTTTGTTTTTTGAAAATTGAAAATTTGTTTCATTCTGCTGTTACCCCATCTTGTTTGATGGTAAACGAATTTTACGATGAACATGAAGTAACAATTGAAAATTTCCGCTTGCTTTTGTTTCGTGAGTAGTTTTTGAATTGAACATCTGTCGATACATCACTGGAATACTGATTTGTCTTACATAATGGAATTATCATTGATCACTCTTTTCACAATGCCTCAACGCGCCATTATAAGAGCACTTTGACAAAATAAACGAATGCATTGTGACAAGTGTTTAAGGGGATAATTCTTGTCTCGTTAAATAAATCTATATTAAGTTTTGATTTTTTTATTTACATTTTATAAACTCTCATATTCAATTAGCTTTTCCTCATACATATTGAAAATTTAATTTAAAAATTACATAATTATAACCTTAATATTTGCAATTTAAGACATTAGAATCTAATATTTATTACAAAAATATAGAGGTCAACGAATTTAAACGAGCTAGCAAGATGTTTATAGATCTGTGAGATCCTTAAATAATCATATCCATTCTAAATATGTATTAGGTTTAAAATGTAATTAATTCTTTGCGTTGCTGAGGAGGACTAACAATAAGTAAAGTCCGAAACGTTTACATGTATACATTTTAGAAAGAATACAAAGAATAAATTTAACGGTTGTGCCATCTTGCTAGCTTGTTTAAATTTGATCTCTATATTGTTGTGATTTGTTATTGCTTTGAAACTTTACGAGTATTATAACATTTAATAATTTAATATTTCAAATATTTATGTTTAATAAACATTTTTTTGTAAAACATAAAGACAACGAATTTTTTTACATATTAATAATAAATAAATTATTTTCTATAGAAATGGTATATATATTTAAATACTAACTTTATTTGTTAAAAATAATGTGATTGAATTCTTTTTCAAAATAGCGAAAAATTGCTAAAAAAACGGAAGGCATTTGCTCGGAACAGACTATTTTGTTTTAGCAAATTTGTTTTAGCAATTGTGATAAGTTTTATATCAAAAATCATAAACAAAGACATAACTTGCAAATCTTACGTTATCATCAAATTATACATACATATATTTCTCTTTTACATTTTATTTAAGATAATTGGACTTTCAATGATTGGTTTATCATTGTTTGCAGCAACCTCCGCTATTGGCGATGCCTCGAAGAATCAAACTCCACCAACGCTTCTTTCAAGTTTAAGGAGTGTACTTTTCGTTATTGGAACTGTGGTAGTCGGATTCGCCGCTTTTTGCAATTCTCTGACATGGTAATGCAATACGTCATTTCTGCATTATTTTATATAATTCGCATAAACAGAGTTACAATTAAATCTTTCTCTTTTCGCCCTTTTTCTATTCTCGATTGATTAAATTTCTGTAAATTTTAATAACATAAAATAAAAGGTAGGTAAAACTTTCCTTTTACACAGTCAACTCCAAATAATCTCTAAACTGACCTTAATTTTGACCTTTAAGGAAGTAAAGGTCACTGATCTTTTCTGTCACTTATTATTCAAAGTTATGAATAAAACAATTTTTATGCGGCTCTGTTAAGAAATGCACAACTTTCCACGCGAAGCAAGGTCTACCTCACGCGAAGCGACTTTCACCCCACCTGCTTCAAGGACGCACGATTTTCCACGCGAAGCAAGATCTATCTCCACCTCCTTCTGTCAAGGGAAAATACTATTAAAATATGTATCTTGTGTTCAAAAATTACTTACTATTTTAAAAAATTGGTTTGTTCATAACTTTTTAATGAATAACTATCGACAGAAAAGATTAGTGATCTGGATCTCCTTAAGGTCAAGGTGAAGGTTAATTGAAGGTCATTTGGGGCTGACTGTGTTAAGGGAAAGTTTTACCGAAAGATATTATAAAAATAAAAAATGCTTAACTCAAAAAATTTAATTATGAATCAAATATAACATTTATAATATATTATACTCTCAACTTTATATTTAACATTATATTATTAACTTTTTATGCGATTTTATTTTACTTATAGTGTTTCTTGATTTCTTTTTTTACACTGCTCTTCTGTTACTTGTCTATCTAACCGCACATATATAGAACAAAAAGTAAAAGTATGATTATTAGGTATACATTTATTCAGTGTCTTGAACTTTATATCTATTTTATATACTATTTTAATAAATTTTAGTATGTTTTTTGTGGATTTAAAATGCTATTAATAACGTTCACAAATATTTTTTTACAAGGTGGAGCCAACAATATATTTTCAAAAAACAATAATGAATTGAAAAGCGTCGATAAAATGTATTTCAGATATTGTATTTTAACTAAAAAATATTTAGCTAAAATTATTTGCTGCCCTTAATAAAGCAGTTTAATAAAGCTGCAGTATTTATGCAACGTTTGCAAAAAATAGCATCAGATTTTGTAATGGGATCTTAATAATCAAGAAAAAATATCATGGCCAACTTTGAAAATTTGGTAATGGAAAAAATTACAGCAACTGGATGAAAACTCCGTACAAACACAAGAAGATCTCTTGCAGCTTGGAGTCGCTCGTTAGATATCGTTTGACTGCAACAATTGGGAAAAATTTAGAAAAAGAATATGTAGATGGATTCCGTATGCTAAAGATGAAGACAATTAATGAATTTCGATATAGAGCCATAATTTTATTTATTCAGAAAAGAACAAATGGATTTCTTATATAATGGAAAAAAAATTGAAATATGGATTTTACATGACAATTCTAAGCATAGAAAATCTTCGGTGGACTCGGCCAACAGACGACAGCTGATTACCTAACAGTAGAATAATAGATCGCAATGTTAAAATAATGTTAAAATGAATTGTGAGTCATCAAAAAATAATTTTTAATAATCATTTTCAAGCCATTTTTACGTTTTTTGATCTTATGATCACTGTTAGTTCTTGGATCAAAAATCAATATCCACGTTAAGAAATATTGCTGCGTGTTTGAAAACATGAATAAGGCATACTCTATGAACTGCTAAATTCAGGTGAAATGATCACAATAGATCTCTGCCAATCACAGTAAATCTCTGTCAATAACGTATCATCAGTTTGAACGATGAGTTGAAACAAAAAAAGAACTGTTTTACATATCTCAAGGAAACCACAAAGTGATCCTCGATAACACTCACAAAGCGATTAAGGATGTTATGTTTCCCTTAAGAGTGTTAATTTTTTTTCACATGGCTTATTTACAGACATATTCTGTTTAGAATTACCATTTGTTTTAATCGCTATAACATCTGTGCCCCGATTTGGTAATTTTTCATGACAATTCAGTACATTGTTGTTGAGCAACTTTTTTTTATGTATAATATCTGCGGAACAACAATATAACCCATACAACACAAATCTCCAAAAGACGCTCTAAAGATCTAAGGACGTTTCCAAAATGTCTCTTAAATAAAGTGTATTGTATGGGAACAATATCAGTATTATTAAGAGTTACAGAACATTGTAAGAGTTACAGAATCGGGATATAATATCAATATATACACTTCACATTGACGAAAATGTTTAGATATCTCGAAGCTGCTAAGTTTTTGTCATGGTAGAATTCGGAATCCACTAAATATTTATAGAAAGTTCGATTCGTATTCCCAATGTGCCGAATATTCCGACACAGTGAAAGAATCGTCACAGAATATACAAATGTCGATAAAATGTTCAGAATATTGTATGAATACTCCTTGTATATATCATGAAAATCACTCGCAAGCAAGCAGTACACATCTTCGCCGAGGATCGCGACGGAGAGCATTTACTCGTTAATAAGAATCACTTAGTAGAGAATATAAGGAGCATAGCTCCTTTCGTCGGTAAAATAAGATCTAAAATTGGGTTCCAAGGTGAAAGTGTGGAGTATATTTTTCAAAGCAAAAGTTTGTTTAAAAATTGATTTAAAGAGAATCGAACTTGAAATTTCTATAAAAATTAAAATTTTGCGAAACATATATAAAACATTCTCGGAATATGTAACGATATATAAATGGAATTTTTAAATAATATTTGAATGTTGTATTCCGTAAATATTTCGAATATTCCGGAACACTCTCTTGAAATGTTTTTTAGGAGATTTTAGAAATCTTTTATGAATATTTTAAAAAGATTTAGCATTAGCTGGGTTAATAATGGCAATTATTTTGATAACTGAGATTATTATATTATTTTTGTAAATAAATTTTCAATTTTTCAAGAGACACTGAATTAATCTGAGTACTTAATTTTGTTAATACTATATGAGAAAAATAATCAGATCTTGATCGTAGATCAATAAAAAAAAAAGCAAATAATTTCTTAATCTTTCCGATTTTTGCGATATTAATTTTTTTATAATTTTTTTTTAATCTGATATATAAAACATATTAGAAAATAACGAATTAAATTTTTTACTTCCATATGTTTATATGTATATACAAGTTTTATATATCAGATTAAAAAAAAATTATAAAAAAATTAATATCGCAAAAATCGGAAAGATTAAGAAATTATTTGCTTTTTTTTTTATTGATCTACGATCAAGATCTGATTATTTTTCTCATATAGTATTAACAAAATTAAGTACTCAGATTAATTCAGTGTCTCTTGAAAAATTGAAAATTTATTTACAAAAATAATATAATACTTGTAGCTCATCTAAAAAAATTAATAAATCAGTATTGCGTGAAAAAATTGTTTATATCTGTAAAACTAAATAAATTATCTTAGTTTTAATTGAGAAATTTATTTATTTTTTTTTAGATTTTACTAATAGAAAAAAAATTTCAGGCATTTACAAAGATTCTGGGGTGCATCCGGAGACTTTTGGCAAGCTCAATGGGACAAAATTTTGGATAAGTTTGGAGATGATCCTGTTACGCTATGGGTTTACGGTAAATTTACGATACATTTTAGATAATCTTTATAAATTCAAAGATATATGAGAATAACTCCTTATAACGTTTAATATAAAAGTATAGATAAATGACTGTAAAGATTACGTAAAGATTTCCAAATTGTTAATCGCTGCGCGTGTCTTAACGCCAAGACACTACCGTAATGTATCTCTTGATTTTGATAAAGTCTTTAACTAATTCAAACTTAATATTTTTTTTAATTGAAATATTGTAAATAATAATTGCAGAATTTTTATCAATTATATATATAAAATTTTTGAGAACAATTGAATTCATATGGAATATCTTGATGATATTGGATATAAAGGACATATTACTATATTACAGGATCCTTGGTGTTAACGATCGCGGTTTACTGGATCGTCGGTGGAATTTACATTATCCTAGATATCACCAACCGGCCAGCGGTGCTGCGCAGATACAAAATACAGCCCGGTACAAACGAGCCAGTGGACAAAAGGGAGTTATGCAAAGTGATCGCTCAAGTACTGTTCAATCAGATCGTCGTCGGCTTACCTATTATGTATCTCGGCTATTACTTCATGGAATGGCGCGGTTACCCCCCGGTGCGCGAGCTACCGACGTTCCACTGGGTGCTTGCTGAGATCGCGATTCATATACTATGCGAGGAGATTGGCTTTTATTACTCGCACAGGTACATCCTATTTAAACATAACTAATCCAGAAACTTATACATAATGACAAATTTTACATTTGAAGTTGTCAAATTTGTTGACTAAGCTGAAAACTGATATCTGATGAGCTGGCAGAAAAAAAATGTCATTCTTGATAGACTTAAGTATGAAAATGTTAACAGATCAAGATTACATCAGAAATAAATATTATATTACTTTTATAAATCTTATATTGCTTAAGTGAATTAAAAAGAAAGCAATTAATATATATGTAAATACAAAATCGAGTAACGTTACCAGTGTGTGCTAAGCAGATGAAGAACTCATAAGTTTATATACATATATTTTATATTTAAATTCTATTAATAATGTCTATTCCCTGGTGAACATTTTTCTCATAATTTTTATACGAATTGAAACATTTTTCAGAAATACTCAGAAATATTCGGAAAGTTTACATCTTTTCTCAGAACTTCTCATACAAATGAATTCTGAAATATTCTGAAATTTCTCATCCCATAATTTTTAAAAAGTATTTTTTAATTTTTTAGATTTTATAATATTTCATCAGAAATTGTACTTACAAAAAATTTTTAAAATCTTACGATATTTCATAATTAACATATATGAAAAATTCTGAGAAAAGATGTAGATTTTCTGAGAAATGTTCCAATTCGTATAAAAAAATGTGAGAAAGTTATAAAATTATAGAAAAATTCTGAAAAATTATATAGAAATTCTAAAAAATGAAATAAAAAATTCTGAGAAAAATTTTCACCAGAGTTTTAATTTAAGAATCTAAAAAAATTATTACATTTTTTGTAAAAGGAATTGAAAAAACGGGGGGGGGGGGATATTGAAAATATCTCCGAAGATAAAATTCTGACAATACATTTATATATGGTAATCTCGCGATTTCTGATATTTTACTAATATGTTTTAATGTTATATTAGCTTTAATTTTGGTTTATTTTCTGCGGATATATACTGTGTTAACACGTAATGCTAAACTATTTTTTTTTATGTCGGCAACTTCTGTCAAATTTTAGCTACATTTGTTCCATATTATGATGCAAAACTTGCTTATTTTCTACTAATATTAATTGAAGCAGCAGACTATACTCAGTTGTTATCTGCTAATAACATAATATGCTAAGATCTGCTAATGACATAATAAGCAAACACACATTTGTAATACGTGCTCTTGGCATATCTCCTGCTAAATATTATTATTGTCCATCAGGCATGAATTTCCTGCTAAATATAATTGTTCACCTTTTATTAATCTTTTACATCCAGATATTGTTAAAAAGCTATTTATACAAACATATCAAACATAAATAACTAAACTAATGATTACTAATGATTACTAATGATGAACACTTTTTGCAGATTTCTTCATAAGCGGTCCCTATACAAATATATACATAAACAGCATCATGAATGGACTGCTCCCATAGCTGTGACTGCTTTGTATTGCCATCCCTTGGAAAATATTGGATCGAATTTACTTCCACCATTCTTAGGTGTATTCATCATGGGCTCCCATGTGGCCACCGCTTGGATTTGGTTCTCACTTGCGATTCTTTCGACGTTGAATGCACATTCCGGATATCATTTACCGTTTTTTCCATCGCCGGAAGCACATGATTTCCATCATTTGAAGTAATGCAAACTTTGTTAAAATTTTTTTAATTTTAAATCGCATTAAAATAATTTCACTCTATTTATTCTATTATAACGAATGCTTAAAACAGATTTTGATAACGTAGTAGAATATAATCTTTATACTGAATTTCACATTTAAAAAATCAAGATTTATAATTATTTGATTATACAATCAGTTTATAATTGCTACATGAATGCTAATAACTAATGATTATTTTTAGGTTTAACCAATGCTATGGTGTGCTTGGCGTTTTAGATCGCATCCACGGTACCGATACACAATTCCGCAATTCGCGGAATTACACGCGACACATAATGATGCTTAGTCTTATACCGCCCAGGGAAGCTTTCCCAGACGAGGCAAAGTACAAGTCAAAGTAAAGGGACCCTTCGATAATACTATATGAAAGTTCTCTAATCTCCGAAGAAAAAATCTATTCGCGTTGAATGCAATATTTCTGCAGCGATGACCGAGTCGAAAACAATAGATAAATAATAAATATAATCAATTTTATCTAGCTGATATTGACAAACTTTCTAAAAAAAAATTGAATTAATTTAAATTAATGCGTTTTCAATCGATCCTTTTGTAGTCAGTCTCGAATATCTATTTTTGAGAATTCATTCAAACACAGTTTACTTTTATTCATATTTCTGTGAAGATTATTTTATGAAGAATAAATCCCGCTTCTTAATATTAGGTAAATATTGATATTCAGAGAGGTATTCTTTTCAAATCAATTTCTTAATGCTTTATTTATTTCTGTGTCAAAGTCTGAAATTTTATATCTTTTTGGAAACTAATTCAATGTATCATGTAGTGCAATATTTTAACTTACTGGTTAGAGGATTCTCGTGAAAGAAACTCGGCTATCCGCTCATTGATCTAGTGATAATGATTGTGTATATACAAATGCCATTCAAGGTTGGACTGAATAGAAAAAAATAGTAAAAAGTTTCCGGAAGTTTAAAGCATATGAAAATTGAATTTATACTTTAAAACTATTAATAAGATAATAAAATTATTAATAAGATCAAAGTTGAATCGATTTTACTTTAGAAGCAACAAAATAGATTTTCTATTAGCTAAATGTTAGTTAGATTGTTTGTATTAAATAATTTGTATTATTTGTTTTTAGAAATCTTCAGTAAAGCTCTCAATTTTCAGAGTTATCCAGACAACAAACGCATGTTCAAAACTGTGACGTAGAGTGTCTTACTTAAAGATGTCATTAAAATATTAAAGATATCTAAGAAATGATGTCTTAATAATCTTTAAGACATCTTATATTCCGATTTTTGACATGAGCGCTCTCTGAGTATACATATATTAGACTGATTCATAAATAAGTTTCATTGCATGTAATAATTTATTTTTTCTGAAAATCTTAAGTTGCAATTCCATCTCTAATAAATTCCTCAATCGTAAATCAATAGACATATATCTATATTTGTGTATATATTAATATATTTATAACTATGCATATCGTCTTATAAAATTGCGAAAGTAAAATCTTAAAATAGAAGATTTGAAAGTATATGTACATCACATAATGCCTTGAAAATTTAAACAAGAAAAATGCTATTGTAATAATAAAAAAAATTTAATTCTCTCCAAAGAGAAACTTCAAAAACCGTAGACAAACCATTCCAATTTCAATAATGTTTTCAAATTATTATTCAACAAAGTCCACATTATATAATAGAGCACGAAAAAGCAGAGATATATTACAACCTTGTCATATCAAAAAAATCTGATAAAAGAAAATAAAATTTATTTATGAATCAACCCAATACTTCAGTATGTATACCATACAAAATTATACTTTCACTATTATAAATTCACTATTTTCTTAAAATTATATATGCTAAATATGAGACTTTTTGATAATTATTTTTTGAATTTTTCTTTCAGTTCGACCTTGGCGCCATTCGTACTTTTCTATAATATTTGTAGAAATTATATTGTTAAAAATATGTATTGTGTATTTAAGCTATATATTTATGCACAAGTTCTTACATTAAGTTTAATAGCGTAATATATTTTATATTTTTCTGAAGCTTCTTCGATACAATCGAATTGAAAAGTTTATATTTTTTATAATAATGAAGAAGATAAAATTAAAATAAAAATTAAATGCATTATTATTATTATTATTATTATTATTATTGTAAAAATTCTGTTTTTTAAATTCTTATTCTAATTAATATTTGAAATTATTTTTGTAGTATTTTAGTATACTGCATTGTAATGAAATATATTGCATTGTAATGAAAGCTTCAGAACAAATAACATTTATGATGTAAAAATAACTATTTTTATATTTAGTTCTATAGATCGAGCGCAGGCATTAGCTTGATTTAGATTTAATCTCAAATAAGATCTAAATAATTGTACTTCTTTAAAATAAATATAACTTACTAGAATATTAGAAAATGACGTTAGGGATTTGGATTTCTCTTTATATTGAGAGAAAAGTATGTTGAATATATTGATTATATAGATTATATAGATAGAGATAAATATACACATATGTATAACACCAATAATTTTATCTGAATAACAATGGATCTTTGTCATAAAATGTTTTCACATTCTGTATTTTGCAAGAAAGAACTCTATTTATGGAAACTAAATCAAAAATAGAACCATATATCCTAGTTTGTCTTATTTTACTAACTATAAATTTTTTTAAAAAATTTTAAATCATATTTAACAAAATTTTATCGCAATGTTCTTGAAGAACTTAAAAAGATTCAAAGAAAAAAATATATGTATAAAGTTATTTTAAAATCACCTTAGATTATTGAAGATTAATATTTGAGTATGCAGATGTATAAAGTGTACACATACATATGTAAAACAGATAAAGCTCTCTTTCTGCATTGTGATCACTCGTCGAGTTTAAAGTCTGACGCACAATTGAACAGCATGGGCAATAGGAACAAGTATATGAGACATTCTATTAAAAACCGTATACTCTGATATACAGTTTCTGGTAGGTTGAAATTTGTTATTCCGTGTTCCTATTGTCTATGCTTTTCAATATTGTGTTTCAAGCTTCAGGCTTAAGGTTTCTGACTAATTGTCGTGATCACATTGAATTATACGCTATAAACGAGAAATGAAACATTGAGGTTTCTTGCATGTCATTTGTAATTAAAGAGAATTTATATAAAATAAAATGATGAAATTTTAAAATACTTGTAAAAAATATTCTATTCTTATGCCCATTTTTACCATCTTGAGTCAGTAAATAATCATAAAAGGCATGTTAAATAAAAGTAAGCTTAAAAATCTATTATATGTATTTTAAAAACCTAGCTATTATATGTATTTCATTATATTTTATTCTTTTACGACTATTTATTGATTGTCAAAAAGAGCGTATACAAAAATGAGTCGCGAACATTTTTACAAGTGTCTTAAAGCAATCTCATTATTTCGTTTTATTTAAATTTCCTTTATTTATAAATGCCATGCAAGAAACTTTCTCGCTTATAACGTCATGATCTAATATGACCGCAGTGACTAGTTAGGAGCATAGACTTTTATACTATACACTAGGCCGTTAATGACACTAACTCCATTATTTACCGTATCTGGTATTTGGGAAACAGGGTTTCCCAAAAATGTGGAAATTCTATAATAATTTTTGTAAAACGAAGATATCGAAAAACTATCCCCAGATACGAGGACGGAATGGTGATTCTGATTAATGCCAAGCACAAAAAATTTCCACCTTTATATAGCTGCCGTTTTGAATGGAGTCGTTCATAGCAATTTAAAATTATCATCGTTTTGACGATTTCACCATCAAATAGCCCCGACCAACTCGAGTAAATTTTAAGATTTGTTCTCGTTGACCAAACCTGAACATAACTGTTAATCGACACGATGAACAGAGAGGACATGCCATTGGCGCAAAGATAGTATTTTTGAAATAATGGAACACGAATTTTTCACCATTTTCCAATATCTTCGTTTTTACAAAAATTATTACATGATTTACATACTTTTGAAAAACTTTGTAAATGAGTGACGTAAAAGATCATGTGAAGGTCGATGCTGTTATTGGCCGATTTAACAGTACATATGTTATATCTATGTACGTAATTAATATATATACCAGTGTCCCCAATATCCCTTTAATATCGCATATATGCATGATTCAGTATGTACATACATACTTTTAAGAGCCATATATTTGAGACATTTGAAACAACTAGGCAAGTTAGCGATCTAATGTATATGATAAAAGTCTGTAGTCAGAAGCCAAGGCTCGTAATTAACATGTATTATTATCGTTACTGAATTTATATACCTATATGATAAGCTTATTAATAAAATCTTTACAAACGTCATTTTCTTTCTTTTTCTCGCTTTTTTTATTTCTCAATATGAAATCTTTATGAGATGATGTACATCATTTTAATAGGTACACGAAATGATGTAAGACGTGTGATTTGCAAATATATATATATATATATATTTTTTATAACAATATGAATTTTTTTCTTTTACATAGATATAGTACAAAAATAATAATTATTATTGCTTTTTTTCTCGCGTATATTTAATAAAATATAGACTTTTAAAGGCTTAAAACGCAATTTGCTTTTAAAAATTGCAATCTCAAAAGGTCTTACAAATTGAATAATTTTTTACAAATTATTGGTTACCATATTTACATAGCGAGACGATATTTCAATGATATCCTGCGCGTATATGGCAATTATATAAAGTATCCTAGATGAATTTATAAATGGATTAAACATTTGTAAATTATCCCGCAAAAAAATACAATCTTACAGATGCAAGCAAAAAAATGCAACTAACAAACTTACAGTGTATAAATCGAGTAGCTCTTTGGTAAAATTTGTATACAATATCGCATTTCATAGGTCAAACTATTCTTATTATAAACTACAATTTTTGCAGAAAAGATCGTGCACAATACTATTTGTTGAGAGAGCATTTCCAAAGCACAATACAATTCAATTCAATTGTCCTGGGTTTATATAAATTTAATTATTATTGTCAGATTTGGCAACTGGACCCTCTGTAAATCTTTTTTATATTCTCTAATACAAGAGGTGGCATCAAATGCGACATGTACATTCATATACAAAAAGAAAAGATCATCTCGGAAAGACATACAACATTTATACAAAAATTTGTTCACACATTAACAAAAACAAGTTTTAAATAAAATTTCCAATCTATCTATACATGTATATATACATATAATAAACATATGTATATTTTAAAAATACTTTAGAAAATTATATTAAATTTAAAAGCTGCAATGAAGTATTTATAAAAACGTTACAATACCATCAACAATATTTCTTTTTCAATATAATATCTTAAACCTTAACATGTCTATAATATTAAGGCAATAGTATAATAAAAAAATTGTATAGCAAATTTAGTTATCAATATATAGTGAACTTAGATATTATTATGATATTACGATTAGTATAATATATCAATACGTTTATAAAAATGTCAAAATCTTTGATATATTCTAATGATAGGTATCGTTGTCGTTTGGACATTTATATCGTTATGTAAGAAGAAATCAATGCGAAGTACATCATCAATTGGCTATTTTAAAGAACGTATACAAAATTTGCATTTGCAAATGGAAGAACGCAGAAATTGATTGCTTCTTGCATAACGTGTATTTAATCTCATGGAACAAACTTCTTCTCATACGGGTATCAGTCATTGTACATTCCGTCGATCAAAAAATCCATCCTTCGATAGTGCCTCTTATCCCAGCAATCTCGACCGCGCTTATATAATACGAAAATCGCAGCACCCAATATCGGTAAAGCGACAATTGTTATAATGACTGGCACAATGTAGTCGATTTTTCTTGGCATGCCTAGTGGAGGATTTTTTGTTCGTAGGAGTGGTATAGATTCATTAATTTCTGGCCCATCAACAGTCGTTACCGTTGGTTTAGGCTTCGGTATGTGCTTTTCAACATGCAAAGATGTTTTCGTTGTATTATTTATGTCTAGATGAGCTGCAGTTTTATTTGCTGGTATACTTATATTAGAGTAATTGGAATTTATATGGTGATTTAAGCTATCATTAGAGCGTGGATTAGTGGTATTTAATTTCGGGAAGCTAACGTTGGAAATTTCAGATTTGATATGAGCTGTTTCTATATATATCGCAGGACTACTTTTCACTATAGATAATTTTATATTTTCAAAAGTGGTCTGATTAAGTAATACATTTTTCTTTTCTGGATCCATATTTTGATCTATACTTTTCGTAGGTATTATCTCTGGAACTTCTGAAACTTCCTTCCTCGGTTTTATTTTTTCGTCAACTCCTTTCCTTGCCACCACAGAAGGAATAGCATGTCTCTCCTTAGGCGCACTCTCTCTAGCTTCGTCAGGCTTGTTGGATTCTGTTGTAGTGCTTCCACGTTGAGGCGTTATTATAGGTCCTCCTTCTGCTACACTAGAATACCGCTTAAAAAATATTTTATTGCTTTATAAAAAAAACCATTTTATTTCTCTACAAAACTGAATTATTTTATAAAATTAACAAAAATGTATCTCTAAATACAGAAAGTTTATTATATATAAACCATATTATAAAGATGATAAGAAGTAATATTTCATATATTTATAGATACAAAATTAATAAACGTAAGAAATATAGGAAAGTACGAGACAAAAATAAAAAACAAATAGAATATAGAAGAAATCAAATCTGTAGAATTTGAAAAAAAAAAATACTAAGAAAAAAACAAAATAAATCAGAAATATACAAAACAGAAAAATAAAAACAAGAATATACTTAGAGGGATTTACAACAAAAAACATAGTCAAAAATCTCAATCTTTTTAGAAACATATCCTATATTGAAATAAAATTTTTCATAAATCATCTTAAATTAAAATATTTATACAACAAAATTTAGATTTTTATTATTTTTTAAGTATTGTGATAGCAAAAAATAAAATTAATAAATATGTTTTTAAATAAAAATATTCACATTGTAATTACATTTTTTACAGCAAAAATTCTGTTTTTTGTAGCTGCACTCTTTATATTTTAAATTTTGATCGAAATTTAAAGTAAAATAGAATCACATCGGAGAGAAAAAGAGAAAAGAAATCTAGACTACAAATTTGGCGCGATTCTCTCACGTTCAAACGGAAAATCCGCGTCGCACAGTACGCAACTGCGCAGTGCGCATCAGTACACTTACCACCAATGCTTTCTTGTCACCCGTTGCATTGGGAGGCTCGACCGTCGACGACAGTGGTTCGATCAGAGAACCAAGAGAACCGCGACCGGGTATCGACGGTTCCAAGGACGTTGCGGCGTTGATAGATGAGGTTAGCGTTGCGACGAATAACGTGACCGCCAATACAAACGGCATGGAAGAGCATGGAAGATCGAACGCGGCCATATCGCGTCGTGGATCCCGGCGTGCACGAAAACTCGGGGAATTCGAGGGAGCAAAACACTCCCGCAGATGTAACTTAAAATAAGGAAGAACAAAAAAAGAAACGGAGCGCTACCCGCAACACCGCGAGAGCGACCGATGATCAATCCATAACCACTGATGGCTGCCGCAAACTGTCGCACGTACGAGAACCTCGAGCTTCTCTTCGTTTCGGCTGCACTTTCGCTGTTTCCCTTCTCTCCGTCTTTCTCTCCCTCCCGTCTGTTTGTCTCTCTCTTTCTTTTAAGTTATAGCATATAGGGTGTCCTAGAATTAGCGAGAGGCGATCAGAGATAATTTCTAAAATGGGCCTTTTATTTCTTTTTTCGAATAAACTTTGAAAAAAATAAGTGACAAAGACAAATCGAAGATTGATTTTCACATTAACGCAATAGTCTTCATCTATCATCTTTTTTTTCAATATCTAATAGCAATGTATATTAATTTTATTTTAAGTGCAGCTGCGAAGAGAACATACTTGTATATGCCCAACTGTTCGTGCAATTGTTAGAAATAAAAAAACTATGGCGAAAACTTTATGTGAAAGTTTCACGATGCTTTCGCAATAAACACGTGAATAACGCATACAAACATATACTTAGCTTGCTGGTAAATATAAACGTAAAAAAATTCTTACAAAATCATTAAAAAAAGATGAGAAAGAAAAACTCATTATTACTTATTTAAAAAAATTAAATTTACTTTTAGATGCTAATTTCTATAATTTTTATTAAGCAAACTGTTTAATTTTCCAGATTGACAACAAAATGGTTGTAATTAGCTGATTAGATGATGACATCAATTCAAGCAATTAACATGTTAAATTTTGCTTGTATTCAATAAAGTACATCAAAGTCGTGATCTTTAAAATCAATCATATTTTATTTACAAACTTTGCTACCAGCATTCTGCCAATAACATATTTGTATGTCAAATCCAATAAATCAAATCTGAATAAGTTTCTCTATCAACAAAGTAGGTAGTAGATCGAATCTATTTTCGACAGATTCGCCTGTCTACGTACGTGCGATCTTGTATCACGTGTTCATCTCTATTTTTATCAAACACAAATAATACAAAAAAAAAGTTACACAGAAGTTGCAGATCGATACAGCAATCCACGAAAGTTCCATAAATTAAAGGGAATTGTGGAGATTTATTTTGTGAAATTGGATTGTCTTGATTTCCGAAATTTTTAATATATCTTGAATTTTACATTCGTACTTAGGTTACGCCAACGTTACTTTAATTTTAAGCGAGGCTTAAAACTCTCTTTATCCCCGCCTCTTTTCGGTTTTAAAACGAGATAGAGAATTTTAAGTTTCGCTTAAAATCAAAGCAACGTTGATGCAACCGGGTCTTAATAGTGCGGAGTCGTAGAAAAAACATTCCTCGAAAAGTGATCCTAAACTCGCGACAAGCTCGTAAAGATTTTCGTGTTCTTGTAATTGTAGGTGACATTAAAACTAATCGAACGGAGTGCGTATGTAAGAAACGACAACTGAAATTACCGACTGTAAGTCGCGAAGGATGTAAGCAATAAACGTAAGTGGGAAACACGTAAGTATATACGTTATACTGTTGACGTCAATGCACAGTGCACATATTATCCGGTGGCGACTGGCGACACGTACGAGAGGCAGACGATAAAGCATTAATAAAGCTCATTAAAATCATTTACGAAACGTTACGTTATTTACTCTTCCTCTTGATTGTCTCTTTTCGTTATCTTTTCGTTTTCCTCGTGGCGGGCCTGGCTGTGTACCACTTATCGCAACGAAATATGTACGTGACTGATGCTCATTACTGCGTATGCGTGGATTCTCGTATGATCCAACAATTTGGGAATGTCGTAGATGTATGTACATTCATGCGTGTGCGTTGTGTTTGCTTGACATTCGTTTCACATTGTGTTTTAGTTATATTTACTTGATTGATTGTCAAAAAAATGTGATTCTCCTACTTTTTCAAAGAATACCGACTCGACGTTTAGACTGCTTAGTATCGATACTATGGAAATCTGATTGATAAATCTAGAATTTCTGGAATCAAAGATTAGCAGTTGTTATTGAGGTACACATATACATGCAGTTTTTAATAATTATGATAATTTTAATTTTCTAATTTTTCGAAATTGGAGTACTTATTCGTACTTTTAATGATTTAAACGCTCTAAAAGTGTGATAATCATTACTAACTTCAAAGTTGACCCTTCACCTCGTGACTCACGATAACAGAAACTATATACATAAAAAATTGTTTGGTCATCAGTTATATTATTGTATCTCGCTCATAAAGTTAGTTATTGTGACCTCGACTAGTTTATTAATTTAGAAGTATATTTGATATATAAAAATTATAGAAGAGAATGCATTGAAATTATATATAGTGACTTATCAAGGTATAAGATTTGAACATATACATATAAAGCTAATAATTTGATTAGAAAGCTTATTAGATTCTAAAATGTGAACACAAAGTCATAATTTTTCTTTTTTTTTTTTACAGTAAAAGCACAAAATGCGCAGCAGAAGCAACTCTGGCGTCCGTTTGGACTATTACCAGCGGATTGTCCACAAAATAATCATGAATTATCAGAATCCTGTTACTGGACTCTTTCCTGCAAGTCCTGACAATGACCATGCCTGGATACGGGATAACGTTTATTGCATACTTGCTGTATGGGGTCTATCAATGGCTTATAAAAAGATAGCAGATGCTGATGAGGATAGAGCGAAGACATACGAACTCGAACAGAGCTGTGTAAAGCTAATGAGAGGTCTCCTGATGGCAATGATGCAGCAGAAGGAGAAAGTGGAAAAGTTTAAGTCTACTCAAAATCCACATGATGCCTTGCATGCAAAGTATAGCTCTACCAATGGTCAAAGTGTAGTTGGAGATACAGAGTGGGGACATCTTCAAATCGATGCAATTTCTCTGTATCTTTTAATTCTGGCTCAAATGACAGCATCTGGCTTACAAATTGTTTTTAATTTGGATGAGGTATTTGATATCTGACATTTGTATATTGTAAACTTATAAATTGTACTATTTTTTAATACAAATATAAGTGTATTTGTATAATATGTAATGGTATACCAGATTACTGATTTACTGATTTAAACTGGACTGCAATTTTCTTGTTAATTTTAGGTGGCTTTTATTCAGAACTTGGTATTTTATATCGAATCTGCCTATTGCACTCCGGATTATGGAATTTGGGAGAGAGGGGATAAAACGAATCACGGTTTACCAGAATTAAATGCAAGTAGTATCGGAATGGCCAAGGCTGCAATGGAGGCAATGAACGAATTGGATTTATTTGGTGCAAGAGGTGGCCCTACATCAGTTATTCATGTTCTGGCCGATGAGGCACAAAAGTGTCAAGCAGTACTGCAATCCATGCTGCCTAGAGAGTCAAACTCCAAAGAGCTGGATAGTAGTTTGCTATCGATTATAAGTTTCCCTGCGTTTGCAGTAGATGAGCCTAACTTAATTCACGAAACACGTGAGGCTATTACCAAGAAATTACAAGGACGATATGGTTGTAAAAGATTTTTGAGGGATGGATATAAAACACCAAAAGAGGACATGAATAGGTATTTATTTAATAATAATTTTTAGTAAAATTTATTTTGACTAATAATTATATCCTTGGAAATAGATTGTATTATGAACCATGGGAGCTTCGTATGTTTGAGAATATCGAATGTGAATGGCCACTATTCTTTTGTTATTTAATATTGGATTACTGCTTCCAAGGCAATAAAGAAACAGTTGAGACGTGCACTAAACAGTTGGAAGAAGTAATGATTAAAGCGGAAGATGGTATGAAATTGGTGCCTGAATTATACTCCGTCGCACCTGAGAATGTATCAGCGGAGTATGCTGAACCTGGTAGCCAAAATCGAATAGCTTTAGGCAGGTGTCCATTTAAGTGGGCACAATCTCTTTATATTCTAGGAAAATTGCTGCAAGAGGTAACATACTTTCAGAAATATAGTTGAGACAAATCAAGAACTTTCTTAAATTACCATATTAAAAAGTTAATAATATTTCTTATCATATTATCTTATAATTTGTGTACAAATATTAAAAATATTAAATATTTGATAATTTTATTTGCTGTAATTTTATTTCTTCTGTATACAATGTATATGAAGTATTTTAATCTAGAAAATTGTGTTCAATACAATAATCCTATTAATTGTTACATTAATAACAAAATATTTTCATAATATAATTCTTTTCAATCATTTGTTTCACTTTTTAGGGATTTCTTGCAGTTGGCGAGTTAGATCCCTTAAATAGACGATTATGCAGCGAGAAAAAGCCGGATGTTGTGGTACAAGTAGTTATCTTGGCAGAAGATACAGAAATCAGGGAAAAAATTGCACAGCACGATATTCATGTACAAACAATTGCAGAAGTTGCACCGATTGAGGTACAACCTGCAAAAGTCCTCAGTCATTTGTACACATATTTAGGTACGACTCAACAAAATCGCAAATTGTTTAAAAATATTTTACTAAAGCATAATTTAGATATTATATTGTATATTTTATATCTCGTTTTTAGGACGCAACAAAAAATTAGGACTGTCCGGGCGTAAGTCAAGGGATGTAGGAATTCTCAGCACTAGTAAACTGTATTCCTTACATGATAAGATATTCGCGTTCACGCCACAGGTAAATACCCGCATTTTATGGTGAGCTTTATCATCTTTTTGTATCTTTACTTCTTTTCTTATGTTTCCTCTTGTTCTCGCACCGAATTGACTAGTTGACAGATATGACCCGCTTCTACATCGCATCGGACTATGAGCTCATGATTGACATATTCAAAGGTGAAATTAATTTCTTGAAGTCTAGTTGGCAGAATATGTTGGGCCGGCCTCTCGTGGTCATGCCCCTCAAGAATATTCATCTAGGTAATTTAACGATTTCAAAATCATAGTTCTTTTTTTTAGTCGTTACTTTAGACTTTCTGAAGTCCATTGAAGTTGTCATGATTAGACAAATTTTGTGGCTCTTCTTAGAAATTTTGATGAATTTCTTGTGAAATTCTCATTTTTTATAAATACTGTGACTGTCCGCTCTGAACAACTAATGTCTGCTTGCATGCGTTTGTTTTTGTCATGGTTTCATTTAACAGTTACTTAACTCTCTATGGCTTACATGATTTTGAATACTAGGATTTATGTTTGTTATATATTATATATGCCTTAATAATACATTATTATATGAGTTTTAACTATAATTTATTTCAATAATAACGTATTTAGTTTCGAAATTAGTACATAATATTATCCATGGAGAGTTACAACATGAGCTTTTAATTAGTTTCATTCATGTTATGTTTCTATTCTTTTCATTACTAACATGAATTGGACACTCGGGTCTCAAAAGTGGATGCGATTGTGAGTTGTGTTGATATTAAAGATGTTCAACTGATGCTCAACTGATGTTCAACAGTGCGAGATAAAAGCAAAATATTCGAAGCGAGATTGTATCATCTTCAAGCATCAAGCAATAAAATTATCCTAAATTATCCTGATATGGCTTATTGTGTTTGGTGGTATTGCGCGTGTGTTGCATGTGTTAGAAATTTGACACGGAGGAGTACTACACAACATACGACGTCGACCTGCTTGTGAACACTTTTACAACCACCTTGGCCTTCCTCAAAATCAACTGGAAGCAAATGCTCGGCAGACCAACTGTAACCCTTGTCGCTACTCATAATCATTTAGGTATGGCTTCGTCGGAAGCTTTAGATCTCCTCCTACAACGAAAAGCTCGTCGAATACTACATTGAATTGTGTAGCATAATGTTAGCGTAAAATTAACTGTTAAAAGAAACCGCATACAGAGTATCATAAAATTCGAGTATAAATGTTCTGTTGCAGCATAGTTTGTGAAGAAATAAAAACAGCGATAGTTTTTATCAACAAATTTTAAATCTTTATTTTAAAATCTTTTCTAAAATAGAAAACATACATACATTTTTATTGTGGTTTTTAAATGAATTTTTTGCTATATTTTCTATGTTTAAATTTTGTGATATTCTGTAAAAAAAGCTATCATTTTCAGTATGAAAAAATACTTATTTTTATTTTTTGCTTACTTCTTATCAAAGTTTATTAACATTTTTTTTTAGATCAAGGTAAGATACCGTTAGCTATGATAACTACCTTGAAAAAACTTAAAAGCGGCTACATCAATGGTACTAGAGTTTCATTGGGAAACTTGAATGATTTTTTGAGTACGTCGTGTATCACGAATCTTAGTTTCCTGGGAAGTTCCGAGGATGGTCGTCCTGATAAACTAAATCCTCAGGTATGTAAAATTCAAGTGACATATTCAGAATAAAGTTACAACATGTTACATGAATTAACAGAATTATTTGTAACAAATAATTAAACATATACTTTGTTTTATACATTTTTTAAAATATATATTACTTAATATTTAATTTTCATTTGCAAAGTCTTAAAACTTAAATAGCATATAAAATGTTTCAAGATTTGATCATATAATTATTCTGTATATGTGTGTGATACACGTAATTCTCATTTATGTTCACAAGGTCCAACAATATTTGGAGGAACACTTAATGCGACCATTTCCTCATCGTACAGGACTTCTTAATAAACACGGTCCAATTCGTACAGGGAAACATCTGCGGCGTAAAATGTCTGTGAAAGGCGCGATAAAAAAAACGCGATCCATAGCTGTCGAACGTAAGCAACATTTGTCCCATTAAAAAAATTCCAGATGGAATGGTTTTCATGTTCTAACTGTGTGTTGATTGTATGTCTTTTAAAGAGGATCCTTAAACAATAATGCAATGTCTTCCTACTGCTGTGATTGTTATCATCTTCTAAGAAAGTAAGTTTATTAACCAGATACTATTGTTGTATATGTATTGCATTGTTTAATCTCTGATATATTTTTTTATAAATACCAAAATAAAATTTTATAATACTTATAATATTAAACAAAATCTGAATGATGTTAATATTTATATCTCTTTCTAATTATTAAACATATGCGCGCACGCAGCGCGTACATTATTACATACATGTATGTATTGTGATAAAACTTGCTAATGCTAATACATATTTATATTTATATATGGATTTATACGTGTTTATATACGAATTTATATACGGATTTATACAAGATGTTTTAATGACAAATAATATTTATTTTATACAAATTAAAAAGTTCTTTTATATATTTCAGCTGAAATTCTTGGAATGGCAGGGGAAGACCGTAGACATTCTACTATTCTAATTACAAATCCATTTATTGAAGTGACGGATACTACCTTGTCTATCAACGCAACTCAACCAATGACGATTGAACGCACACCATCGCCAACAGACGAGCTGCTATCGTGGAAAAATTCTCCCAAAACTAAACATAGAACAATATCTGAGACCCAATATGCTGAGACTGAAGTGGAGGAATTGCTATCTATGCTGCGCGAAACAGAAAGTCTTGAAGAGCAAGGAGATATTTTGCAGTATATTGTTAGTATATTTATCTCTTCGTTTTAATTTTGTAGAAAAAGATTTTCTATTAATTTATACAAACGGTCAAAAGATTATTTTACATATATAAAACATTACATAGGTGGACTCGAAGGGACTACTTTTTGATACAGGTGTAGTAGAAGAGGGACATCCCGTTCTAATAAAGGATTTGTTAAAAAGTCTCTATGAGAAGGCTTGTCAACAGAAAATGTGGGGTATTGTACGACACAGCGCGGGTATGTTGGGTAAAAGAGTGGAAGATTTAGCGAAGGCGGTTACTGATTTACTAGTACGACAAAAGCAAGTGACTGTTGGCATGCCACCGAGCAATGAGCATACTATAGTCGCGCCTCTACCAGAGAATGAACTGCGAGCTCTGATTCATCAGGCATACGGTGACGACGAATCGACCGCTATGCTGACACAAGAATTACTCGTTTATCTGGCGATGTTTATTAGAACGGAGCCACAATTATTCCACGAGATGCTGAGACTGCGCGTCGGTTTGATCATACAAGTTATGGCGACAGAACTATCGCGAACATTAATTTGCACCGGTGAAGAAGCTTCTGAGCACTTGTTAAATCTATCTCCTTTTGAGATGAAAAATTTACTGCATCACATTATGAGCGGAAAAGAATTTGCTATTAGTAGTGGTATGTTTCTGCGATTAATTAAAAATTTGAGAAAGTATACATTAGAATATTTATATAACAATCATATGTTGCAGTTGGTCGTGGCAATTTTTCCGTCATTAGCTGCAAATCAAGTAGAGTCAGTAAGGTAATATTGCCATACAATATCTAAAACATTTGACTTAGTAATTACTAACATATTACTACTCTTGACGATTACTTACATATTTAGGTATACATACAGAGAAATATATTTAATTTTTAATTTTTAATTTTTTTGCTATGTAACTATTTTAGTTTAATGTTTTATATTTAATGATTTTTTTTTATATTTAATTGATGATTGATTCATATTTTTATCGTTTACAAATTAAATAGATATGTGTAAAGTTGAACATATTTCTTTTGTATAGAAATCTCAAATTGGTGGTTTCTTAAGCGCTGATCAAAATGCTGATAATGAGGCAGAAGCAGATCGACAAGGTCAATGGTTGCGAAGGCGACGATTAGATGGTGCGTTAAACAGAGTACCAAGAG